AATAGTGTCAGTAGCTATGGGTAATACGCCTGCAGTGTCCTCCACGCAAAGAACCATGGAAGCAGGTGGGATTTCACCCTCCTCCAGCAATCCCCGCTTGCGTGGATTTGGATCAGTTGGCGAAGAGGATGAGACCCCAGGAGCAGCTCCAAGAGATAACCGTTGCAGCCCTGAAGTGTTGCGGGCATGTGAATCACCAGCCCTCTCCGTGTCATGACGGTTCCAGGAGAAACGAGCAATCTTCTTGCCCAGAGTGTGCTCATCCACACTAGGAACTTTGTCAAAAGCCAGGATGTGTTTGCTGTAGGGGAGGTCGTTCCCATTCATCGTATCTTTGAGATCGCAGTGAGCACTGGTGTGTCCTAAAACACCACAACAAAAGCAAAAGATAGGTAGTTTTTCATAATAGACTGAAACTTTGAATAGCCCCTTACTGCGATCTTCATGAGAGGCCGTGACCGAGAGAGGAAGTGGGCGGTTGATATTGATGGACACTTTCGCCCGAAGGTAAACTCCACCCGTTTTGCGGCCAACATGGACAGTATCTTCCTTCAATTCTCCCATTGTAGAGCCTAAGCATTGAGCCATTAGCAGGGTGTGGCCTGAAGTAGGGACCTTCCAGAACTGAACCCCAAGAGGGACGTGGGAAAGAGATTCAGCAACCTCAGAAGTTGGGACATACCAGCGGCGCAGATGAATCAAGAAGCGCGGTTGAAACCATGGTGACTTGTCTCGAACGCGGCGGTGATCAGAGGTATCGGTGAAGATGAATTGAACGAGGCCCTCGTCCACCGGTAGCACCGTGATGGAGCCGCGACAATTCCATAGATCCACAAGAAAATTCTGCAGGCTACCAAGGGAAGGAGCAGGGCCATGAATCTTGCCAAGGAGACTAAGCTCAACCCTCTCTTCTGCGACAGCAACAACTTCATCATTGTAAACAGCAAATATTTCAGCAGCCATTGGAGGATGATAGGTAGGGTTCGAGACAACAGAGATGAAAAGAGTAAGGGGAAATCAGTGAGTCAATACTTGGGAAACGAGGAGCATCGACGCCTTAAATGGCCGATTGAAGAACCCATGAGGGAGCCAAACCACCCAGAAGCGGAGGCACTTTTCCGGAATTCGCGAGATGGAGGTCGCACGTCGGCGATGATTGGGGGTGGAAACCGCCCGTCATGGAATCCTCCAATTAATTCCTCCCCACTCCTCACTTTAGTTCCTTCTTTTATCCCTAAAATCCGGTCCAAAATAATCACATCCCTTGCCCAATTAAATCTACCGAGAAATTTTAAAATGCTATATAGTATTGGTGCTATAGAATTTTGCCTTTATGGTACAACTTAAAATTGTACGCTTACGTTATGGTACAACTTCAGATTGTATCTATACTTTTTGTACAAATTCTTTTATGGTACAACTTGAACTTGTACCTTTATGTGATGGTACAACTTCAAGTAGTAAAGTTGTACCATAACATAAAAGTACAAATTGCTTTATGGTACAACTTAAACTTATACATTTAATGTTATGGTACAACTTTAAGTTGTACATTAAAGCACCAATACTATATAGTATAGTAGAAGTGTTCTAAATCTACCCCATTTCAAATTTCCTGCATCCAGAGTGAAAGTAGGAAGGACGTTTTGGTCTTCACAATCACGTTTTATTTATTTATTAAAAAGACACTTACTAGGATTCGAACCATGACCACTTTAAAGAAAAGCAAAGATCATAACCAATTACACTAAGTACATTTGTTGTATCTTTTTAAATTAAAACATATAATCGCTGAGAAGAAAAAACTCTTCCCCATTTCAAATTCCCTGCTCCATGAGCGTTTGTAGGAAAGGTAGAATAGGGAGTGTCAAATTTTTTTTCTTTTTCCTCTGTGGAACGGGCCAACTTACCGTACACATGCGGATTTAAACGGGTCCAGGAGTGTCCATTTTTTTCTTTAAGTCTTTTTATTTCTCCGTGGTGCTAAAATATATATGAAAAGGCAAAAATAATACTCCTTTTTATTGCTAAAAAGAAAAAAATTTAACAATAAACTAATGCATGGATTATAATGGGCTAACCGCTAATCATAAAATAAAAGAGTTGAATGGGTCTGACCTACACGAGATTTGCCCATCAAGTAAAACAAATGAACATTATGGGTTTGTCATTCTAAAACAAGCTATTAAAGTTATTCAATGGTTCAACCTCGACAACCCAATTAGTCAATTTTTTATCATTTCAAATATATATTATGTAATTATTTGATATCATAATGATTAAATTATAGGGAATCGTTTGGTATTCGTTAGTAAAAAACTAAACATAAAGATCTATTTGGTTATTTTTAACATTAAAACGATCCTAAACTTTTTCAATTTCCTTTCGAAATTCTATAGTTTTATTCCCGAATCAGTGATGTGCAAATGGCGAATTGCATTCATCTCTTTACTTTCTTTATTTTTTATTTTCAAATAGAAAGTTTAAAAGTAAAGAATAATTAGAGTTTGGCATGGGTCGGTCAAACAGGCTGAATTTCAAGTTTTGGTCCGTTTTGATCAAGTCTAATTTATAATCACATGGTTCTTTGATACCCGATAAAAATCTCAATCCAAATCAGTTTGGCAGGTGAGTTCGTCTTTACCACCATTTTCTAGGATACAGGAACGGTGGTTCCTATCCCAAATCGTGTTGTTTATTTTTTATTTCTTTAGATTTTATCATGGCTTGGCAAAAAACCAGAAAGCACAATGATGACAAGATGAAAATTTTATAAAGCAAATTAATCGGCCAACGGACCGAGTAAAAGCTAGCAAAGATTGTGAGATGCTCATTTCCCGAAAACTGACGGGATAAGCGATTTTTTATTCGATTTTCTGGAATTCGGTTTCTATAAAACTTACTTCACCTCATCATATTACCAGAAACAATATTGTTTCACAAGGTAACAGGTACTTGATTTTGGTTCATAAGGCTGATTTTTGATTTGTTGCATCATTCATATCTCTTTCCTACTAAAATTCACTATTTTTATCACGTGTTTCAAAAAAAAAACTATACAATAATAAGCTATACACTTCATTACATTATCAAATTTCATACCTCACCTTCCTCCGTACAATGGCCGGGGCCAAGGCTAGTTCCTTTCCAAAAGAACCTGACCAAATAATTCCGCCATTCTTTTTCCAATTTAATTCCATCAGTCCCAACTAGTTCCGTGTCCAAGGTGGAAATGAAGAGGGAATGGGCCGCTGGCCCATAAGCTGTCGTTGCCTCTGTCTACATCAACGAATATGGGTTGGTGAATCGGCCCGTTCGGCTGGAGTGAGGTTCAAATTGAAACTTGTCAATGCCTATGCAAATTCTTGTTGAACTTTGCAAAAGTGGCACTACAAAGTGTACAAACACACCACACATTTGGTAATGACACAAGGTCATTCCATGGTTAATTCGAATCAAATACCTATAATTTTTCATCACATAACACACACTAAAATTATCGTATGACAATCCAATGCATGCATATGTATGACACTTATCAGCGAGCGTAGTTTGTGGAAGGTTTAGAGGTCGACGACAAAGAAAGAATCGGTCGATCGAGTACGAGGAAATGGTTTTTGTTTGGTTGTTTGTTTTGTTGGTAGCGTCGGAGTAGGACGAGAATAAAGTGGGTGATCGCCGGCGAGGGCACATCAGGTTAGGAGTGGTGATGAAGACGCAACGGGATTAGGGATGACAATGGGTCGGGTCGGATTTTTCCAAACCCAAACCCATGGGTTTATCCGTTAAAAAACCCGGGGAAAAACCCATTGGGTTTGAAGAACTCAAACCCAACCCAACCCGCTGGGTATCCGCGGGTTCATGGGTGCCCACGGGTTTTTTTCGTAAAAAATTTACAATAACAAGTTCCTGTCAAAATTAAAGTCAAATATCAATCTCTCAATACAAATTATCCATGTATAAAATACCATTCTAGAAAATTCAAGCAAATCACAAATTAACTATACAAATTGTTCAACACCAATCTAGAAAACTCAAGAAAATTGAAGCAAATCACAGATTATCCATAAATAACATGATTAATTGAAAGCTTCTTCCTTTCAATTAAGTTTCTTTACTCTCCACTCGATAACATCAACTTCATTCTACAAATTAAAAAGAAAAAATTAGACATGTCTCCGCAAACATAAATAAGATTAGTTGTTTAGAATATTAAATATACAGAAAAATTAATTATATGGGTGTGGACGGGTACCCATGGGTCGGGTTTACCTAAACAGAAACCCAACCCAGTGAATAGTAAACGAGTTTAAACCCAAACCCGACCCAAAATACGTCAACACAGATTTTACCGACGTTAACTGGGTTGGGTCGGGTGGGTACCCGTGGGGTCGAGTTTTGTTGTCATCCCTAATGGGATGGGGGAATGAATTTTTGTTTTTTATTTTTTAAAAATTATAATTTTTTTTTGTGATAATGATGCGAAATTTCTAAAAGAATAAATTTTATTTTTTAATTGCCACGTCACTGATTTAACGGTCAATTCTCAAAGTTGACTGCCATTTCAGAAAAAGTTAACGGAGAGTTACCAAACTTGAACTGTTGAACTAATTTGAGTGACTATATATGAAATAAAGTAATTTGAGTGGCAAACATGAACTTTTTAAGTAATTTCAGGGGTTAATACCTTATTTTGACCTGATTTATGACCATATAATCAACTTTGGCCTGTGGTTTTAGAAACTAACATCTTGGCCTCAACTATGCAACATATAGACTCAATTGGCCCGACACATGGTTTGACCTTTAGTAAACACGCCATGTCATTGCTTCGTCAGCCTAAAAATTATTAAAAAATTCAAATTCAAATTATTTTACTAATTTCTATTATTTATCTTTTTCAAATTAACCAAAAAATAAAACTATAAAAAATTTATATTTCATTTTTGGGTAATTCGAAAATGATAAATTTTATAAATTAACCCAAAATTATGTAATTATTTTAAATTTAATTTTTTGAATAATTTAAAAAAGATAAATAATAGAAATTATTAAAATAATTTGAATTTGAATTTTTTAAATATTTTTAGGCTGACGAGGTAATGACATGGCTTGTTGACCGTCCAAATTGACGGTCAAACCATGTGTCAGGCCAATTGAGTCGATATGCTGCATAGTTGAGCCCATGATGTTAATTTCTAAAACAATGGAACAAAATTGATTATAGTTCGGATAAAAATAAGGTATTAACCAAAATTTCAGTGACCAAACTTGCAATTTACCCTTGTTAATTGGTTGTGTACTTTGTGTGTGCCGTTGTGATGCCATGGAGGACCAAGGAACCCGGGCCCAAAGCAGAGATCGAGCTTGGGAATTCAATTTCAGTCCAGCCACTCTGCCAATCCAGCACGCCACCGAACCCTCGGCTGAGTGCTTCACTCCAGTTAACCTTTTCATGCGCTCCTCGCGGCCGCTGGCGATACAGTTACAGATATAGTCTTTTAGGTGTTGGGTTCTGGATTCAAATTTCAAGTTTCATCTTTCCTTCTGGGTTCACGGTGGAAATTGGGTTTGGATGATAGAGCTTGTTCTGGTAACGGAATGGAATGATTCATTCTGAGGAAAGGCGGGCGAAGGGCTGGTAGTATCTATTGATGACTGTCAGCAGTGTCCGGGTCTCTCATTGCCAAGGCTTTCAATTTAACGCAGTTCAGCAGCTCGGCATGGCTAGGATCATCCATCGAATCTGCTATCGGTATCATTGGAGAAGACAAGCAGGTATTACTGAATTCCCTTATGCTTATTCTCCAGCTTCTGCCGCAGCTCCTCTCTCGACCTACTTCTCCTCCAATCCAACTAGTCCTCGGACCTCCAATTCTGTAACTTTCGCCAGCATAGATGATGCCTTGGATTCATTTAATAGGATGCTCCGCATGAACCCTAGACCCTCAATTGTGAAATTTTCTCAGTTGGTAAATTCTCTTATGAGAATGAACGCCTTCGAGGCTGCCTTGTATGCGTCTAAACAAATGGAAGTAGCTGGATTCCGCCATGATCTTCACACGCTGAGCATGTTGCTTCGTTGCTTCTGTAAATTGGGTCGAGTGGATTTTGGCTACTCAGTTTTGAGCAAAGCTTTGAAACTCGGTGTTCAATTCAACGATGTAATGCTCAGTACATTGATTGATGGGCTCTGTAAAGTTGGGAAAGTAATCGAGGCTGCAAGGTTGGTTCATAAGATTAGGATTTTGGGTTATCATCCGAATGTTATTACTTATACCATAATTATAGATGGATTATGCAAGCTAGGGCAAACGAGTGCAGGACTTGAATTGCTCAAAAACATGAACGAGTTGGAAGAGAGGAAGATCAAGCCCAATACAGTTAGCTATTCCACATTGGTTGATGCTTTTTGCAAGGAAGGAAATGTTTTGGGAGCTAAAGTTATACTCAAAGTGATGATTCAAAGAGGATTTCTTCCGAATGTTATTACTTACAGTTCATTGCTGGATGGGTACTGTTTGCGCAATGAATTAGACAAAGCTAGAAAGTTATTTGATTTCGTGGTCAATAAGAGATGTGAACCTAACGTTTACTGTTATAATATCATGATTCACGGATATTGTAACAATGGAAGGATGGATGAAGCTGAAGAATTACTTAATGATATGCTGGAGAAGGATGTGGCTCCGAATACAGTCACTTATACTACTATGCTAAATGGATTTTGTCAAGCAGGGAGGCTTAAAGATGCACAAAAAATTCTCAAGAAAATGAGCGGTCTGGGTTGTTCCCCGGATAATGTGACATACAATAGCTTGCTTGATTACTTGTGTAGACAAGGTCAACTTGACGGTGCATTAGCTCTATTTCAAGTAATAGAAAATAGTAGGTTGAAGTCTGATATTACAGGGTACAGTATCCTTATGGACGGGCTGTGGAAAGCGGGGAGGGAAAAGGAAGCTAGGGAAATGTTTTCTATGCAGACAAGGTTTTGTCGATGAAGCATATGATCTGTTCAGGAAAATGGAGGGGGATAGTTGTCTACCTAATAGTTGCTCTTACAACGTGATTATTCATGGATTTCTTCGCCATAAGGATCCCCTTGAAGCAATAGACCTCATTCATGAGATGGTTTCGAAAGGTTTCTCAGCCGATGCAACCACCATGTCTTTGCTAATAGAATTGTTGCCCAAGAATCAGTTGGATCATCCAATATTCCAGAAGCTATTGAATGGTCCTGATATCAAGAGTCATAAAATAGGGTCTAGTGGTCTATTAGTTGCTGCAACTCAAGGAACTAGCTGAAATTCTCATCCAAAGGCCAGTTGCATGATCCTGTAATTGATCAAAATCTCTCGGCTTGGAGAAGATTCTGATGATAGAAGATAGCTGGAACTAACGGTCCGATTCATGATCCTTGTCATCCCACTTACATATTGTTGATTCTGTCTGCTGTACAAACGAGCTCCGATCCCTGTACGTTTCTGTCCATGTTTGATGCATTAGTATGTGCCGAACCTGTTTGTGATTATTGTTTAGAGATATGAAGCTCGCTTGTCTAGCAACATGGATTGAAGACAAAGGCCAAAGCCTTGAAGGGAACTCTAGGGTTCTGCTTTTGTCAAGAAGAAGCAATGCTTTGGTCACCCAATTTTGGACTTCACTCATCTGAATGAGATAGTAATCAACCTTCAAATGAAGCTTGTGTTAGGAAGTATTATGTATACTGGTTAAATGGTCAGCGCTTTGCGGCTATGTTAATTTTGCTGAATATGAATCTACTTTCAATCCTACTTTAAATGAATTGCAATTTGGAACTCAGGAATCGATAAAAACCAATTTTAAGGGTGGTGTTTTGTTTATTGAATTTCAAACCAATTTTATCTGTGCTCCTTTTTCGTTCAACGTCCTAGTTGGTTAGAGACTTTGCTACTTCTTCCACCACTTCTTCCACATTCCAATTCCTGCATTCTATATTGATAGGCAACTCTGATAGAGAATGTAAGGGATAAATATTGCAGCTAAAATCTGAAAGACAGTTGCAGCAGCTGAACCTTTGCGTGAAGTGATCAAAGCAAGTAATAATGAGTACAGCAAATGTCATTGATAAACATGAACCGGACTCCAATAGCAGAGAGCAAGTAGGCTTTCAAATTGCCAAGGTTCCAGCTACTCCGAAAAAGACCAATCATGGGCGCCCTTAATCGATCTGTTGATTCGAGCGTGCTTAGGTGTATACAACCACGACGCTAACCCTCAAAGTTCACAGTTGTATGCTCGAATGAATACGATAATTTCTGTTTCTTATCATAATCGATGCATTTCTGTCAATCTCTTCCGTCCACTGTTCTCTGATATTTACGCAATCCTTAGATTGAGATGACAAAGAAGAGAGCTGCTTATGTCATATTCAAGTTCTGATCTTTCAATTAAAGTCACAAAAAATGCCCAAATCAATGCTGGGTCTGGTATTTGGGATTTTTTAATAGCTGTGTTTGAGTCTGGTTATGGAGCCATTATGTGAGTCATGTTAGTTGAAAAGCTTTTAGCTCAAGTGTAGAGTCAAATGAAGGGAGTCTGTTAGTAGTGGGCTGGAAACCAGAAAATGAGGTTGAATCCTCATCGAATCTATTGAGCGCTTTTAATCCTTGCACAGCCTTGAAATTTCATCCTCATCGAATCCTGATGTTCCTTGTTTGTTGCCTTGTGACCAATAGTTTTCAGGGTTGTCTTATTATTAGAACTACGGTTCTTTAGGGTTTTAAATAAGAATTAGAGATTGAAACTGGGATGAATAGAATTGGGGATTTAAGAATTTAGAAGAAGAAATTGGAGATCGTAATGAAGAATTTACCTACATCCTTAGAGGTAGGTGACGAATTGAGAGAAGAGACATTAGAGTTTTAAGGAATAACTTGCACAATACTTTTCTTGATTAATTGAATGATTATGAAGTAAACCCAAAGAACATATATATAAAAAAAATAAACTGGAAAAGTAAGGCTACAACATAAATCCTAATAATAACTATATTTCTATCGCTTATAAAAAAACCGAACCAATAGTTAGGTCCTTCAACCTCAAGTTGTCCAGCTTCTTGCTTTGCACTTCTGTCAATTTTGCTTCAACTTCTATTGTAGGTTCACCTGAAGCCCTTTCTAACCACTCCCCATAACTCTTTATATCTATGTAGTTTTCCATAAGTAGGCTCCAATGATTGTAATCCTCGTCAAATCGAGGAACACACACTTGCATAAAACCTGATGATTCAGTTATGTTCACTGCTCAAAATTCCATATCAGTCGAAACTTTAATATCTGCGGCTCACAATCACTCATTTTTCTCTCATCCCACTATACTAATCTCATATGAACTCTCATATTTCCCAAACCCACTATGAACTTAAGACAATAACTCTTTAATATGCACTCACAGACTAAACTTGGTACAACAATATGCCAATGCTCTGATACCGCAAGGTGAGCAATATTATAGAAAAATAACAAGCTTTTATTGATTTTGACATGAGTTTAAATACAAGATCAAACTCTTCACTCAGCTTACCTACAACCCAAACCCACCATTTTTATGTTTTCAAGCTACTATCTCTAAGAAATTTATTAACTCTAAAAACTCCTAAGCTTGACCGCCAAGCTTGAACTCTTTCCCTACTAATAGCTAACACGTAAATTGTACTCAAAAGTTTGGGTACCAAACAACAAAAGAACAAAACGACACTGCTTTATTAGTTTTTCAGAGAGAACAATCTGGTTTGTAATGTAACTCATATGATCATATCCGTTTGTACCTTCGATAAGATTTAAGAGGTCCTACAAACACCATTTCACTGTGGTCTTTTCCATCGAATATACACTTCAAGTAGTCACAATTTGTAATGGCAAAAGATTATGATTTATAGCGTAAGTTCGTTATTGTTTTTTTAATATAAAATTATTATGCTTGGTAATGTACCTCTTATTTATTTGTACTGTAATTAGTCATTAATTTGTAATGACAAATTAAAAGACTGGTTTGTAATCTAAGTCTTATTCATTTGCAGTGTTAGGAGTTTGTAATGTAAATTATTATTGTTATGTAAGTCCTATCAATCTATATAGAAAATTGTCAAATTTGTAATGGAAAAAGAGTATGACTTTTGATGAAAACTAGTAAAGTTTGGAATTTAAGTCATACCCTTTTGTATTGTAAGTAGTTTGAATTGGAGGAGTAGTTGAATTGGAGGCGAAGTAAGACGAGGGAGTAGCAGTCATACCGGTTTTCCTTCGCTGATGAAATAGAGAGCAGTTTCGATGCTGAATTGCGTTGAATTGAAAGCATTGGCAACGAGAGACCCTGACAACCATCAATAGATACTACCAGCTCTTCGCCGCGAACCCAGAATGAAAGCTGCGAACTTGACTTCGAATCGGGGACCCAACCAGAGAACAGGACTGAAAACGCAAACCACTGTGTAGCCGTCGGCGACGCGGAGCGCAAGAAGGTCGAGACTTGGTGAAACACTCGGCCAACGGTTCAGTTAGTTGCTGGATTGACATTGGATTTCCAGCATCGAACTTCGCTTTGGGCCCAGATTATTTGTGACACCGGATGGCTTCGGGCTTTTAATATTGGACTCTTATATATTCGGGTTTGCTATTTTCTTCTCTCACATTATATTCACGTAATTTGGCTTTTCCATTAATTGTGTTAGCGTCTAAATAAGGGTAGATTTGCATATCATAACAGTCATCCGCTCGGATAAACAAGAAAGACAACAATCAACAAGAATCTAAAGAATGCAGAGATTTACGTGGTTTATTAACACAACGTGCGTTAGCTAGTTCATGGATGGAAGAGAGGCAGCTTCACTATATATACTTGACGTGATTAGAAATTACAGAGGAGTATTACAAGTATATATATATAGTACTTCTCGAATAACCTAACCCTAATCCAATCTGGTAAAAAAATAATATTACACAAACCAGATCGTGTAAGTTCCGGTTTACGATTGAACATCCAATTCAAGTCACATCTAAAATGAATAAACTTGGTACAACAACGGCGAGAAAGGACAAACACCAACAAACAACCGAGAACAGCGTCTAGCACCAACTTCCAATGCCACGGCCCCGCCGCTTCCAATGCCTTCGGATGCGCCATCGAACGTGCAGGTTGACGTGCTGAGCTTGCCCGGGAAGCAGCTGTACGATGCGTACCAACAGGGTAACTACGATGCCTGCACCGTGGGAACAGTTTCCGGGATAGCATTCTCCGTCTACGGTGGTTGCATATACGGGCTCGACAGCATTCGCTGCCAGAATTGTGTACGGGACGCGACCCTCGTCATATATCAGTACTGTCGTGACAGCGTCGCAGCTCAGGCCGTGTCGGATTCCTGTTGCGTTCGTTACGACAGGGACTACACGATTTGTTAATAATCGAAACGTCCGAAATAACGTACGTGTATGGTTTGTAAGGAAGTTTACTCTTGTCACATTTCTCTCCGATAGCAAGTCCTTTCGACTCTGATTTAGCAGTTTTCAACCATTATGATGTTAGATCAAACAAACGCATACAATTTTGTATGTGTTGATGACATAACATACAAGTCTTGTATTTTGGGAATTTAAAATGAGGAAGGCAGGAGTACGTGGTTCGAAACAAATAATTTGATGACATCATCCCACTACAGAGGAAGAAGTCTTCTATATTCTATTCGACGATGCCGTCAAGTCCGTCTTCTCGACTTGATGAACGGATTAATGATTGATGGACGGGCACATATCATGATACTATCATTAAACGTAGTAGTATGATGTGCAATAAGTCTTACCATAATGGTTAAATCATGATATAACAGATATAATAGTGATCATACTACAACCAACATGTGTTTTGAATAGGTAATGTTTTTCTCAAAACTTAGCAAAATGGATATCATTATGTATATCATAGTTAATGCGTCATTTCTATGCAATTTTTTTTTTAATTTCTTACTAAAAATGAAGGAGATATGACCAGATCAAGAAAAAAACGAGAGATTAGAAAAAGCTGTCAGCTTAAAAAAGAGAGAAATTACCTTCATACCCCTAAGAGTCAGTGTGTACATATTGGGCCGTTAGATATGATTAAAACAACTACTTTAATTCTTCTAACACTTAAACACGCTTTGTCGACGCTTAGACGAGCCAGACACTGAATGAAATCCCCACACCCACCTTACGCCGCTTATCACCTTCTTGAACCTTGCCTGCTTATAGTACATTTAAAACAAACTAGTTTTTTTGGCCCGTGCTTCGCAGTGTTAACAAGCTGATTATAAATTAAAATTTTATTAACTTATTCAGTGATGTAGTATAGGAGTGAATGTGAAGCGAGTATGGATAGTAGTAAAAAAAATTAGGGCATAGACATCTAAACGCATCCTCACTAGGGCTGGGAAACGGTGCGGTCTGGTCCAGACCAGACCATATATACGGTCTATGGTCCAGACCTAGAGGCTAAAGTATAGACCACAGACCAGACCACAGACTATACGGTCCGGTCCAGACCACGCCTGTGCGGTCTGGTTCGGTCTGGTCCAGATAGACCACACTCAACGAAAAATGAATAATTTGTTTAGTCAACCACACAAAAAATTGAACAAATAACCAAGAAAAATCATTGTTATTTTAAAACATTAATCCTAACATGCATGAATAATTTTGATACTCTAAATCTTAGTACATAACAAAGATACAAGGTAAAAACATATCAGCTTGCACCATAACGTCATAAACATTAACATAATGTCATATGGAGACACTATTATCTCTACTCTCTGGTTAAATGTGGTTGTGAATGAAGGAGGGAAGAGATTCACAAAATTAAGGTTGAGACTTGGGTGTCGTTGTGGGAGTTTGGAGAGTGGTCGAATGGGCTGTTAACACGTATTGACAAGTCAGTTGGGTCCACGGTTTGGTCCGGTAAACCGCGGTCTAGACCAGACTAGACCAAGAGATCAAATCATAAAATAATATAGACCATGGACCAGACCATACTTCACGGTCTACGGTCCGGACCAAACTGTGCGGTACGGTTTGGACCACGGTATTTCTAACGGTCTGGTCTATTTTCCCAGCCATAATCCTCACCACCCATCCCATTCCTACTCAATAATCAATACAAAAAAAATCTCATCGATTTAACTCAAAAAGATTGAATACTCATACCCTAGAGCTAAAAAGATTGAATTCTCATCGATTTAACTCAATAATACACAATAATTTTCACTGAATTCTAATTTTCCAATAATCTCATTGTAGCTATTAGACTAACTCCAACCTTAGAGCTAAAAAGTCATTTACACATTTTTAGCTCTTTTTTGTTGCTCCAACCCACATAATTTTGGGAGCTAAAAATGAGTATTAAAGAATTGGCAGCCAAATTTAGCTTCCAATTGGATGGAAAAGCCAAAGTTGGCTGGAGTGGTGGACCCGTTGCTGGGGCGAGTCACACACCGCGTTAAGGGAGTGGGCCACACACACGCTTCGGTAAGGCTCTCATATTGGTTTTGTTTTTCTTTTTGCTTTTTTCTGTGGTATTTTGTCATTGGTTGATTGTGTATGTTGTCTATTTAATTGTTTGAAAGAAGATATGTAATGTTGTATGTTTAATTGGTATTTTCTCGTTAGTCCCGAAGTTAACGGTAACAAATTAACGACTAATTTTGCGAAACTTTTTTTTGTCTCGAAATTTAGAAAAAATTACATCCACAATTTTTTTTTTCAAAAGTAATAACGAACTATAAAAAAAATTACAGTGAAATATAAAAATTAGAGGTCGAATAAGTATGGTTTATTGAAATAAATTGAAAAATAAGGCTGGGAAGCTAAATTTAGCTTTTTGTATGGTTGGAGTGAAAATGGGGTTTGGGGAGCTAAAAAGCCAAATTTGGCTATTTGGGGAGCAAAAATTTGCTTTATGGTTGAAATTAATCTTAGCATCCTGTTTTAAGCTTTTTGTGCCCTCACTCCTCGAATCAGCATGCCCTCCGGACATCAAGCCATTATATCTCCCAATCACCCTAGTAGTGGCGTAGCAAAGATTTCATTTAAGGTGGGTTCACTTAAGAATAAAAATACACATGATAAAATAGTTTTTGTCAACTTTTCTAATAATTCATGATATAATCTTATATTGAAAATTTTTAGTAAATTAAAATACGTTGTAGTCAAAACTATCGATAATATTACTTTATGTACAAAACAGTTATTTGTGTGTGCCAGAGGTAGTTGTGCTTTATGACTTGTTTACCTATCCCCATACGTTTCACCCATCACTAGGGTCAGCGGCGGAGGGAGAATGTATAAGAGGGTGGATTCGGGTTCTGAAGAAAAATGGTTAAATTATGTACAATAGTTAATTGGTATTGATAATTATGGGACATTTAATTGAGAATAGTATATTGAAAGATCTTGTGTTCGGAACTGAGCGACCTCATATCTTAAGCAAATGAAGGGAGTGTGCTAATAAATTATATAAGACATATTATTGAATCGCAACAACGCGACTTATTGATATTAAACGGTTCTTGACGATATAATATCATTCGAAAGCGAACGATTAATTAACAAAATTATGAATCATTGTTTGGTGTAAGATTCATTATTAAACTTTTCTCGACAAATTGAGTTATTGATACTAGCGGCTCTTGACAAAGAACATCATTAGATAGAGAAGGACTAACTAAATCATATGCGGAAGCCAGATTTGTATTGAACAAAATCCTCCTCAAACAGAGAGGGAGAGGGCAGAAACCATCTCGGAAGAGTTTAGAACAATAAATCCACAAGGGATCGGAAAAAAGCACAACACAATACAAAATATTTTTCTCATTGATTTAGCTCAAGACTCAAGAGGATCAAATACTCACGATTACCTGTTAGAGTAGTAGACAATAAAAAGCAAAATATCACATTGGTGGAAGAAGGAAAGTGCAACTGCAAGTGGTTTATAGCCTAACTTGCTTATTTATTTTGTTGAGTAAAGTAATAAGTGAGTTTTGGAAACAATGTGAAATTTAATTTGATTTACTAATTTGATGTTTGCGCGCCATTGGATTTGAAATGACACAACTCTTCTGAAGGGAACTGTTGACAAAAACAACAGTGGAAAGAAGAACATGTCACGTAACTCTTACCTATATTTGTTGGCAACCAAACCCTCGGTCTTTCCGCTCCACTATCCCGTCCCATGCTTCTCAACGTCTATCGCCATTGCTGATGCCGCGGCCAAACCGCCTACGGCAGTTTGCGGCTTGCATTGCAAGATCTCGAAAAGTTATTCGGATTCAAAAAAAAATCGCTATGATCGGATACCCGAGTGCAAAGTTACGTTCGTTTGAAGTTTCGGCCGAAGTTAGGAGTTGATAAAAAAAAAAATTGGACCAAACCGCTGGGTGGGGTGGTGGTTTGGCCCAAAACCGCCGCCCCACCAAGCGGTTTTTATAGGTTTTTATAACCGCCCCTTAGCCCAGCGGTTTGCATAGAAAACCGCACCCCCGCTCAACGGTTTTCGTGTAAACCACAGGGTGGGGTGGCGGTTTTTGAAAAAGGTGGTATTTTTGGAATTTTTGGGGTTGGGTGGTATTTTTGGATTTTTTTTTAACAGTGGTATTTTTGGATTTAATAGATTTGTGTTTTGCATCAGGAGGTTTCTTGTTTGTTTTTGTGGTTTGTTTTACCGTGCTTATGGTTTGCATTATGAGGTTTCTGGTGTGCTTTCGCAAATATTGTGGTTTTCTTTGTGAGGTTTGTGGTTTGTCTTAGGGGATTTTTGGTATGCATTAGGAGGTTTCGGGTTTGCTCTTTTGTGGTTTTTTTATCATGTTTGTGGTCTGCATTAGGAGGTTTCCGGTGTGCTTATGAAATATTTATGGTACGTTTTGTCACGTTTCTAATATGTTTTTGGGGACTTGTGATTTGCATTGGATGATTTATGGTGTGCATTAAAAATATTTATGATATGTTTTGTGATGTTTCTAGTATGTTTGGAAAGATTTGTAGTATACATTAGCAATTTTTTGGTATGCTTTAAAAATATTAGTGGTCTAAAATCTTACAAAAAATCTTCTAAAACATACCAAAACTTGAAAATCCATACCATAATTCACATAATATTTACAAAAAATATGAAAATCAATACCACAAACAACTTGAGCATTACTTTAACATTTTCATTTATTCTTCCCACTGCAGAGGTGCACGTATCAAAAGCGGGAAAAGATTAAATTGAGGGGGACAAAAGAAGATTAGAGCTTTGATAACTGCTCGCTCTTTTTTTTTTATGAAGGTGAAATTTTATTGCAGAAAAGGAACACAGGAGAAAAAGTACAGGACCAGAACAATGCTCAGGCACAAGGAGTGCCCGAATAAACGAAAGAAGACAGGAGACAAGCGCTAGACCAGCTAGAAGATCCCTGCACCGACTGTTGAAAGGAAACACACACAGAACAAACACAGTACAAAGCGGATACAAACAGGAGCCAAAACGGCTTTGTCTATATCCCACCTAAAAAGAAACAAAGAAAGCTCAAACTGAAAGAAAGCAAAGTGCAGACAGGAAGCACAACACTACTGGGTCAGGTGCAGTCGCATTCGAAGCCAAGAAGCGGCAGCAACACGATCAATTTTTCCTTTTGCAACTATCCAACTTGTAACGTTCTTCAAGACTCTCGTGGCTGTCTGATTGGATCTTTAGAGGTGTTGTTAAAAATCCTATGGTTACGTTCCAGCCATATGAACCAAGAGACGGCATGAAGCGCACAATAATAGAACCATCCGTCCAAACAGTCAGGAACA